AATCCCCGAAATTCCCATTTTTTTTGGGGAATTCCCATCGGGTTTGGGGTGGAAAAATGGGATTTTGGTCCTGAAAAAAAACCCCCAGGAAATCCGGGATTGGCTCAGGGTTCTCCCTCCCCATCCCAAAAAATTCCCGGTTTTTTTGGGAATTCTCCGGGAAAAAAGGAAATGGGGGGGGGTGGAGCCTCCGGGTTCTGCTGGAAAAGGGAATTTTTGGGGAAAAATCTGGGATTTCTTCCCCCCCCAAAAAATATAAAATCCCTTTTTGGAACGAGATCGTTCCTTAAAAAGCCCCAAATCCTCCCCGGGAAAACGAGGGAAAAATTCCTTTTTTTATTTTTTTTGGGAAAATATTCCCTAAAATTGAGGAATTTTGGGAGGGGGTGGAAAAAGAAGGAAAAAAAAATTCCCTGGGATGCGAGCGCCGCCTTTATTGGGAATTTCCAAAATTCCAACTTTATTTGGTTTTTTCCGGGAGATTTTTTTTTATTTTCCCCCTCCTGGAATTCCCGAATTTTCCTGGGAAAAACCCGGGAATTTTCGGCTCCGCGGTTTCTTCACCCTGGAAAAAGGAAACAAAAACAAAAAAAAACGGCGGGAAAAGCGAATTCCTCGGAAAGGATTTCCCAGGAATTGTCCCCAAAAATATCCGGGAAAAAAACCTGGGAAAATCCAGGATTCCGGGGATCCGAGCCCTCACCTTCCCCGGGAATTCTCAGGGCTCTTCCAAGCTTTTCTCTTCCTCCTTCCCCGGAGATTTTCCGGGATTTTCTTCCTCTTTCCCCGGAGATTTTTCTGGAATTTCCTCAGATTTTCCCGGATTTTTTTCTGGAATTTCCTCAGATTTTCCCGGATTTTTTTCTGGAATTTCCTCAGATTTTCCCGGATTTTTTTCTGGATTTTCCTCAGATTTTTCCGGATTTCCTTCTGGATTTTCTCCGCATTTCCCGGGGTTTTTTTCTGGAATTTCCCCCTCTTCTCCCAGAGTTTTTCCTGGGTTTTCCTCGTCTTTTCCCAGAGTTTTTTCTGGATTTTTTTCCGTATTTTTTTCTGGATTTTCCCCCTCTTTTCCCGGATTTTCCACCTCTTTTCCCAGATTTTTTCCCGGATTTTCCCCCTCTTTTCCTGGATTTTTTTCTGGATTTTCCCCCTCGTTTCCCGGATTTTTTCCCGGATTTTCCCCCTCTCTTCCCGGATTTTCCCCCTCTTTTCCTGGATATTTTTCCGGATTTTTTCCCGGATTTTCCCCCTCTTTTCCCGGATTTTCCCCCTCTCTTCCCGGATTTTCCCCCTCCCCGCCCTGGGGTTGGTTTTGGGGCGAATTCCCGGGATTTTGGGGCTCCTCGTCCTCGTCCTGCAGGAAGGGCGGCATCCGCAGCGGCTCCGGAGCCTTCAGGAATTCCCGGGGTGCCGGGAAATCCCCGGGAATTCCGGAGCTTCCCGGGGACTTGGGGGGCTCCGGGGGCTCCTCCGAGAAGGGATCCTCGCCCTGCAAGGGAAAAGGAGGCGGGAATGGGGGGAAAAACGGGGAAAATGGGAAAAAACGGGGGGAAATGGGGGAAAATGGGGAAAAAATGGGGAAAAAATGGGGAAAAATGGGAATAAAATGGGAGAAATTGGGAGAAAATTGGGAAAAAATGGGGGGAATAGGGAAAAATGGGGAAAAAATGGGAAAAATTTGGAATAAAATGGGAGAAAATGGGAAAAATTGGGGAAGAATGGGGAAAACAAGGAAAAATGGGGAAAAATTGGGAGAAAAAATGGGGGAAATGAGGAGAAATGGAGAAAAACGGGGAAAAAGGGGAAAAAAGGGGGAAAAATGGAAAAAAAATGGGAATAAAATGAGGAAAAAATGGGAGAAATGGAGAAAAATGGGAGAAAATGGGGAAAAAATGGAGGAAACCATGGAAATCTGGGAAAAACCCTGGAAAGTTTGGGGTAAATGGGAATTTGGGGGGAAAAAACCCTGGAAATTTGGGAAAAAACCTGGAAAATTGGGGGGAAACGGTGGAAAATTGGGAAAAATTTGGGGGGAGAGCCCAAGAATTTTGGGCAAATTTGGGAATTTCCGCTGGGAAAGGCTCCAATCCCTGGGAAAAGCCGGATCCTGGGGGGAAATTTGGGAGATTTGAATCCAAAGGGGGAAATTCCTTCAATTCCCCATCCCAGCTCCGAGTTCCGCCGGAATTCCCGGGGCAGGGAACCCCAAATTCCCGGGATTTCGGGGGGGATTTTGGGGGGGGGAATCTCATCCCGGGGGTTCGGAGAATTCCGGGGATTTGGGGAGGGGGAGGAGAAAGCTCAGAGCTCCAAAGGGGGAAAATCCGGGATCGCGGCCCTGGGATCGTCCCGGAACCTTCGGGAATCCTCGGGAATCCTCCCGGAATCCCCGGATTCCCCATCCCGGATTCCATCGGGAATCTCTTCCCGATTTCCTCCGGAGCAGCCGAAACTCCGAGCGAGGAGCTGCTGCTCCGGGGGCATTGATCGGGAATTCCAGGGGGGTTTTTTGGGAATTCTCGGGGGAGATTTTTGGGATTTTTTGGGGGGGAATTTTTTGGGAATTCTCAGGGGTTTTTTTGGGATTTTTCTGGTATTTTTCTGGGAATTCTCGGGGGATTTTTTTGGGAATTCTTGGGGGTTTTTTTCGGGATTTCTCAGCCCCCCTCTCCTTTCCCAGCTGGGAATTGCAGAGCTGGGAACGGGAACGCTCCGGAGCCGCCTCCGAGGGGAATTCCCAGGAAATTCCAGGAATTCCGGGGGGGTTGGGTTCGGTGTTCTGGGTGTTTCTCCCGGAATCCGGGATGGGAGGCCGGGAAAACAGCGGGAATGTTGGGAATGTGGCTGCTCTGCACTGGGATCCACTGGGATCCATTGGGATCCGCTGGGATCTTGGGAATGCCTCCATCCCAAAATTTGGAGCGCGGGAACGCTCCCGTCCCACGCAGCCGATTCCAGCATCCAAATTCCCTCCTTTTCCCGGGATTCCAGAGCTCCTTTTCCCGGGATTCCAGAGCTCCTTTTCCCGGGATTCCAGAGCTTTTCCCGGGATTCCAGAGCTCCTTTTCCCGGGATTCCGGGGCTCCTTTTCCCGGGATTCCGGGGCTCCTTTTCCCGGGATTCCAGAGCTCCTTTTCCCGGGATTCCAGAGGTTTTCCCGGGATTCCAGAGCTCCTTTTCCCGGGATTCCAGAGCTCCTTTTCCCGGGATTCCGGGGCTCCTTTTCCCGGGATTCCGGCTCCGTCTTCCCGGGGCTCCAGCTCCCTGCCGTTGGGATCCCAATTCCCTCCTTTTCCCGGGATCCAGCGTCCCTTTTCCTGGGGATCCAAATCCCGATTTTTTTTTCCCGGGATCCAAATCCTTTTTCCGTGGACTCCAAAGTCCCGATTTTTTTTTTCCCCGGGATCCAACGTCCCTCTTCTTTCCTGGGATCCGAATCCCGAATTTCCCAGGACCCCAGGTCCGTCTTCCCAGGATCCAAAGTCCCGTTTGTTTTTTTTTTGGGATCCAAATCCCGATTTTCCCCCAGGATCCAAATCCCATTTCTCTGGGATCCAGATCCCATTTTTCCCAGGACTCCAGGTCCGTCTTCCCAGGATCCAAATCCTTTTTTGGGATCCAAATCCCGATTTTTCCCGGCACCCGAGCTTCGTCTTCCCGGGATGCAAATCCCGATTCCTTGGGATCCAAATCCCGAATTTCCCAGGACTCCAGGTCCGTCTTCCCAGGATCCAAAGTCCTGATTTTTTTGGGATCCAAATCCCATTTTTCCCGGGACTCCAGGTCCGTCTTCCCAGGATCCAAATCCTTTTTCCCGGGATGCAAATCCCATTTTTCCAGGATCCAAATCCCAATTTTTCCCGGGATCCAAATCCCATTTTTCCCGGGACTCCAGGTCCATCTTCCCGGGATCCAAATCCCATTTTTCCAGGATCCAAATCCCATTTTTCCAGGATCCAAATCCCATTTTTCCAGGATCCAAATCCCGTTTTTTCCCGGGATCCAAATCCCATTTTTCCAGGATCCAAATCCCGATTTTTCCCGGGATCCAAGCTCCCTTTTCCCAGGATCCAAAGTCCATTTTTTTTTTGGGATCCAAATCCCATTTCCCGGGATCCAAATCCCGTTTTTTTTCCCCCAGGAGCCAGCAGGCACAGCCACCGTTTTTCCCACTTTTTCCCCCCAATCTCTTCCCACTTTTTTCCCGGCTTTTCCCGTTTTTCCGCGGTTTCCCGGCCCCAGAGCTCCGGGAAGGGATTTTTTGGGATCGTGGAGCTTTTCCCGGGAATCCTCCAGAGGCGGCTCCGTCGCTTTTCCTCTGGCCCGGCTGCGGATCCTGCCCGGAAAACTCCGGAAAACTCCGGAAAACCCCGGAAAACCCCAGGAAAACCCCGGGAAACCCCAGGAAAACCCCGGGAAATCCCGGCCCAGCCCCAAATCCCGGGATCTGGGGGGGTTTGGGATTCCTGGGATCGGGATTTGGGGCTGGAACCGCCCCCGGAATTCCAGGAATTGCCCAAATTCCCGACGATTCCCCACCGGGATCCGCGGCTCCAGAGGAAGTTTTTGGGAAAAGTCCGGGATTTGAGGGGTTTTTGCTTTAATGCCGAGGAGACGACGGAAAGTTGGGAAGGAATTCCCGAAAAACAACGAAAACCAAGCCGGGAACGCCAAAAGAACCGGAAAAAAAAAACCCCCAAAAATTCCCAGATTGGATAAAGAAAAATTCCAGGATTTTTCTGGGACACGAAAGAGGAGGAAAAACTGGGAAAGAATTCCCAGAAATGCCCAAACCGCCGGAAAAAACGAGGAAAAAAACCCCCAGGATTGGACAAAAAAAAGCAACAAAAAAATGGGGGAAAGCTCCGGAATTTTCCGGGATTTTCCAGAATTTTCTGGGAATTTGGCTCCGAGGATTTCGGGATGGCAAAGAAAGGGGGAAAAAAACCCCAAAATTGGACAAAAATCCAGCAAAAACTGGGAGAAGCTCTGGAATTCCCTGGGAATTTGGCTCTGACCGTGCTGGAATGGCAAAGGAGCGGGGAAAAACTGGGGGGGGGAAACCCAAAAACTGGACAGAAAACCCCAAAATCGGGGTGGGAAGGCGGGGATTTTGTGGGATTTTGTGGGATTTTGTGGGGTTTTGTGGATTTTTGGGATTTTGAGGGGTTTTT